CAGCCACAGCCACAGTCCCTGCTGCAGGCACAGATCTCTGCAGCCTCCATCACACCCCTGCTCCAGACACAGCCTCAGCCGCTGCTGCAGCAGCCACAGCAGAAAGGTGCTCCTTCAGTGAACTTCTGGGGGGTCACTGTGGTGGGAGTGACAGGGGTGGGACAGACAGAGAGCAGAGATCTCTGCAGCCAGGTCAGGAACTTGGGGTTTATTGCACAGGGCCTGGGTGCAGAGCCCTGCTGGGATTTGGGGTTTATTGCAGAGGGCCTGGGTGCAGGGCCCTGCTGGAGCTGCCTCAGCCCAGAGCAGGCCCCAGAGAGAGAAAGAGGGGTAAAGAGAGTGGGAAAGAGGATGAGAGAGCGAGGTTCCTGTTACAATACAATAAATCTTCTTCTGCCCTCAATATTCTAATTCTCACTAACCAATCTAGTACAAAATACAAATCCTACAGCATTTACATACAGCCTATAAGGATCATTACATTACCATACTGTGCTACATTTTAAACCCTAAGAACTCCTCTTTGGGCCCTTCTGCCAAGCTGTAGGGTCTGCTCTGACCCTTGGGCCTGTCTGCACACAGAGGCTGCTGTTCCATCAAAAGGGGATTGCCTTCAGCTGGCCACACCATTGTTTTCCAGCTATTTACTAACTAAAGGATCTCAAAGCTTGCTTTCGTTTCAATGTCACTTATAGTTTCCATATTCTCAAAATCTTTTGCCAGGCAATCATATTTGTAAGGCTTTCCTGTTTCATCTTCCCCAACAATTCTGGTGCTCAGTGGGTGATGGTTGTTTTCTTGTTAATCAGAGGGTGGAAGTAATAGCTGAAATAATGTGGAGGGGATTGGAAATGTCTTCCTGCACCTTTGTGCAAGGCACTTTGCCTGAGGTAGCTCAGAAATCACCTGGTTAGTGAAGTCCCCATGGACTCCTGTTCATGTTAAGATTTTGTAAGCCAAAAGCAAATTCAGTGTAATTTTTATCCTTTCTCAGACAAGTTGGGGAGTTGAAAGTATTAGTAGCAGTGCAGTCCTTCAGCATTTTCTGCAGTTTCCCACAAAATCAGGTCTCACAGTTGTGTTCTTAAAGCTGTTGTTTCTTTGCTTATTAATTTCAGTTAGCCAGGCGGGCATCTGAGAAAAGAAACACTGCCAAACATGGCAAATCTAAAACAAAGGTTGAGAAGTCTCTCGAACTTTGAGTGGCTAAGGAATCAGTGACAGAAGTGACAATATTAGGACTGGTCTTAACACAGTAAAAGCAAGGGCAGAAGAACCAAAGCAGAATTGTTTTGCATAAATGCTTACTGTATTTTAATTAGTCCTAGTTGTTCATTGGTGTTTAGTAACATTTGCTCCACTTAAATCACTTGCTGAAATGTCTCGAGGCAAAGAAATTACCTGCCGAGGGATTGGTGAGCAGTGTAATATATTGATTTAGGAATATTTTTTCAGGATGCCAGTTATTTTTATGTATGAATAACCTTAAAATGAGGATTTCAGTTTTCCTTCAGTAAAATGAGTAGGTAGTAGTATATCTGTAATTTAAGTTTTTGGAAAGGCTTAGCTGTTTATTAAGATGAATTCTGTGTGCTTAGGTTATATTAGCTTCCATCTCAAGAAGATGCTTTTAACCAATTTCATTTTGATAGTGTGTCAGCTTGCCTCAGTGAAGAAAAGCTTAGGTCTCTTGAGTTTCTTAGGGGGGCTGTTAAAGGATAAATGTAAAATCAGAAAGTGAAGCAGCTGCAAGCAGCAGTGTTGGTGCTTGCCCCGTTGTGTATTGGTGCTGTCCATGCTGTTGCAGGTGGTTTGCTGCAGCCCCCAGTCCGTCTGGTTTCGCAGCCACAGCCAGCCCGAAGACTCGACCCACCATCCCGATTTTCTGGCAGGAATGACCGAGGTGGAGACCCCATGCCAAACCGAAAGGATGACAGGAGGTAGGTAGACCAAACTGTGATCCATAAAGAGCTTTCCTCACCCAGAGCTGAGCTGCCTGCTCCAGAGTGGGTCAGCAAGAGCCACAAGTGGTGCTACCCTTAGGAATTAGGGAAGAGTTCTTATCTACCTGCAAGTGAGGAGTTGTGTTATCAGTTTGTCTTGTAAAGAGACTACTGAAATGTCTTCCCCTTTTTGAGCTGTGTCTGACAGCTGTGCTAGAAATCCCTTTGTGTTNCTGCCCGAACTGCGGCCGGCTAAAGGACCCAGGAGGAAAGGAGAATGGCAAATGGTGAACATCGCAGTGTGAACCTGTCTCTTATCCATGGCGGGATGGGCGGGTTAGATGGCAGAGGTGGAGTTCGTCAGGGGGAAGTTGGGATGGGGAGGAGCTGAGTTGTAGGGCTTTGGGAGAATGGGGGTGCTGTGTCTAAGCTGAGAATCTCAGTATCTCCCATCTCTCTCTATATATATATATATATATCCTTTATGGGATTTTGCATGATTTTGTAATGTGCCTTAAATACTGTCTTAAGCGTCAGGCTTAACAAAAATTGCTGACTTTAGCTAGAAAGTGAATTAGTGGGAAGTTGGGCTGTAGAGGAGCTGATTTTTAGCCCTTTGGGAGAATGGGCTTTGCTGCATCTAAACTGAGAATCTCAAGTATCTCCCACCTCTCTCTCTCTCTCTATGTATATATCTATCCCCTTTATGGGATTTTGCATGGTTTTGTAATGTGACTTAAATACTATCTTAAGCATCAGGCTTAACAAAAATTGCTGGCTTTAGCTAGAAGGAGAACATCAGGGCCCACTCTAAAGGCTCAGAATAATTGTTATGAAAATTATATACATTGATATGATGAAAATTATATACATTGACATTATGAAAATTATATACATTTGTTATGAAAATTATATACATTGATATTATTAGTTATTTTTAAATTAAATTTGTAAAGGTTAATTGCTTTTATCTAGAACTCGCTAAGCAGGTAACTTATATTTGATGTTGTTGCGGTAATAATTCTCCTGTTTATGAGATATTTTGCTTTTATCTGTTTCAGCAATATTCACAACCTCAGCAGACTCTCTATAGTGTACAGCAACAGGTTTGTCTGATTCTTACTGTGTACATCACAAATAACTTTAAAATAATGTTGATTGTGTGTCTTGTAGGATTTGTCTCCGAAATCATCCTCATGTGGGAAGTTGTTAAAGAAACTTAAGTAACTTAAAGAAACTTTGTGTGGCAAAAGAGAGCTTGAAGTTCATAAACTTGGAAAGATGTGTGCAGAATGGAAACCTGCCTACCTTCCTGCAAAAACAAATTTTAGAAATACTTTCTGTTCCATGTGTAAATGATTTTCTGCTGAACTTTGCTCCAAACAGGGCCGTGTATTTTAACTGCTGGAAAGACGCTGTCCAAAAACGTTCCCTTTTGGATTTTTATTATGATCTTCTAACTTAACAGGATTTTTAAAAAGGAATAAAAGTACAAGGGAATTACATGCCTAAGTTGTTCCAGCTGCCAAATTTTTTTTGGTATTGCTATTAACTTTCAGTTAAAAAAAAATTAGTATTTCTCCTTTCTGTATAAACCTGGGTTATACAATCTCAAAACTAACCCCAGAGGCACAGTTTTACAGATGTGCAAACTGCTGAAATGACCAAGCCCTAAAAGACTATTAACTGACTCAGATTAAGCAAAAACTCTTACTTGTAAAGAAGAGGTAGAATTGTACAATTTCCTTAAGCATATCAAATTAATTTATAACTTTATTTATTTTAAGTTGCAGCAACCTCAGCAGACCCTTTTAACTCAGGTTAGTTTGGCTTTATTGTTTGGTCTTCATCCCCAAACACAGATAATGCAAGAGTGCAAATTTGTGACATCTTGGTATTTTAATCTGTAAAATGAACTAATATGAATGAACATTTTATTGGTACAGGTTTATTTTATCCAGATGTTAAAATATGCATAGCCTTGGTTTCAAAAATTAATAGCAACCACTCTTCCTTAATCTTGAAGGGAACATGTGTGTTGATAGTATAATAATTTTTTTTTGTTTGAACTTCAAGTGTCCATTTGTTTTGCAGTAAATAACAAATGGGGAAAATCTTTCTCTTCTCTGTGAAGGAATTTAATTTCCTGTATTAACAGTGTGTGTATAAAGAGATTTAAAAAGAACCTTGCTGAGCCTGACGGGTTAACACATTGCAAATTCCTCTAGTTCCATTTTCACTTGAACTTTTAAACAGGCTTTAAAAAGGTAAAAATGTTTGACTTGATTTCATGATCTTAACTGTGTTCTGCTTTTGTAAGGGGAGTACATGACCTGTTGAGCTAGGGAAGGGTTTGTGTTGTCCTCAGCCTTTACTGACTTCTAATTCCAGGTGGGATTTAAATGCAGAATGACCTCTTGAGCATTTATTCCTAGCAAAGCTGGGAATTTATCTCCACCTTAGGCCCACTGTGTGTGTTGCCTGTAGGCAGTAATGCATCTTCATGCTTTTTGTCTGGACAAGGTACATTTTGTAGACAGTGATGCATCTTCATGCTTTTTGTCTGGACAAGGTACATTTTTGAGGGAAGCTGACTCAAAAACAAAACCAGTCTTCATTAAAGTAAGAAACATATCATCTTCAAAAAAACCAACAACCCGACAAAAACCACAAGAAACTTCCACCATCTGAAATATCTGTTCTAGGTGCTTTAGTTAAACTGCAGTTTGTGTGGCTGGAGGAGCTGCCCCCTGTCAGTGTGAGAGCACTGAGTGTTCCTTTGTTTTACCTGTAATGTCAGTTCTAGGTGCTGTAATGAAGTTAAACTGTTATTTCTGTGGCTGGAGGTGCTGCTCCCTGTCAGTGGCAGCCGTGCCAGCCCTGAGCTTTGCTCTGTTTTACCCGAAATGTCAGTTCTAGGTGCTCTAGTCATGTTAAACTCTTATTTCTGTGGCTGGAGGAGCTGCTCCCTGGCAGTATGAGAGCACTGAGTGTTCCTTTGTTTTACCTGTAATGTCAGTTCTAGGTGCACTAATGAAGTTAAACTGTTATTTCTGTGGCTGGAGGAGCTGCTCCCTGGCAGTGGCAGCCGAGCCAGCCCTGAGCATTGCTCTATTTTACCTGAAATGTGTATTCTAGGTGCTCTACTCATTTTAATCTGTTATTTCTGTGGCTGGAGGAGCTGCCCCCTGTCAGTGGCAGCGGTGCCGGCCCTGAGCGTTGCTCTGTTCTGCCTGCAGCCGGCGGTGNTGCCAATCACCTATGAGATATATACATATATAGATATAGATATATATATATGTTTTTATACTAAAAACTACCTGTCCATTATTTACAATCATTTTCCAATACCTATCACCTATGATATATATATAGATATATAGATATATATGTTTTTATACTAAAAACTACCTGTCCATTATTTTCAATCATTTTTCAATGCCTATCACCTATGAGATATATATATATATATTTTTATACTAAAAACTACCTGTACTTTATTTACAATCATTTTCCAATACCCATCACCTATGTTAGACAGTGTGTTATCTTTTTAAACTAAAAATTACGTGTACTTTATTTACAATCATTTTCCAATACCTATCACCTATGATATATATATAGATATATAGATATATATGTTTTTATACTAAAAACTACCTGTACATTATATACAATCATTTTCCAATACCTATCACCTATGATATATAGATATATATGTTTTTATACTAAAAACTACCTGTCCATTATTTTCAATCATTTTTCAATGCCTATCACTTATGAGATATATATAGATATAGATATATATATGTTTTTATACTAGAAAACTACCTGTCCATTATTTACAATCATTTTCCATAATTATATAAGTTTTTAATACATGTTTTCAAACTTTTTGTCATTTTTCTTCTTTATGTACAGGTATCATTGTTTGCAGAACTCTTCAATGAGATGCTTCAGAGAGATTTTGGTGTCAGAATTTACAAAGCACTGATTTCTCTCCCAGAGAGAGAGGACAAAAAGGACAAAAAAAGCAAAAAAGATGAGAGAAAGGAAAAGAAAGAAGAAAAAGATGATGAAACAGATGATCCAAAACCTAAAAGAAGAAAATCTGGAGATGATAAAGATAAAAAAGAAGAGAGAGATGAAAAGAAGGTCTGTAGTTAGTTCATATGCAGTCTAGCCTGTCTGGATAAATTTTAAAGTGTTTCTATTTCTATTTTACATTGCTTCTTTCAGAAACTCAGCTCTTGTAATGTTAGTTAATTGATTTGACTTTTTGATCTATTTAAATATGCTTCAATTATATTCAGTAATTTAAAATTTTTACAGGTGGATTGGGAGTATCTTAATATTCATCTGTATCATATAAATTTGTATTTGTGTTCTTAGATGACTTATGTATGTATGTATGTATGTATGTAATGTAGGCAAATTTTGACTGGCAATAAGGGTTTTACTTTGCTGGGTTTTGATTCTGAGTAGATAAATATTTAGGATTTTTTTTTCCAGAGAGAAGATAAAAGGAAAGATGATTCTAAAGAGGAAGAAGAAACAGAAGAGGACAATAATCAAGAAGAATATGATCCAATGGAGGCAGAAGAGGCTGAAGATGAAGATGAAGGTATCTTGAACTATGACTTTTGTGACCTTTAACATTTTTTTTTATCATCACTGATTATGTTCAAGCTGGAGAAGGCACTGGAACTAGACAATTCAAAATTGCATTATTAAGCTGATTTTATTCTAGGAATTTTGACCAGTTCTATATCAGATGTAAGTGCCTTTAGGCAGGCCCTGTATGAACACAGTGACTGTGAGGAGTACTGCACCAGCCTTAAAGAGCTGATGCTGATCTCTGGTTTCCAGAATAACTCCTATTTCCTATAATTTATCTGTAAGAGTGGCCTGGGCTTGTCTGTTCTGTACCAGTGCTCTGCTGCTCCCCAGAGTCTGTCCTGGTGCCATTCCCAGACAAGAGTTGCTGAGAAAACCCAACCATGGAGCCACAGAGGTGCAGGAGAAAGCAATTGGTTCTCAGAAAAGGGTTGGCAAAATTAGCCAAGTGTTGTAATACATGGTTTTCCCCAAGTTTTCCTCACAGGGAAGGTGAGCTTAAAGCTGAACTTGGCTCATGATTCTCTGTCTCAAGACTTGCATGGAAGGTGCAGAGCTGCATGCCATAATCCATCCCAGCAGTTGTTTCATTTCTATCTCTCTTTCAGTCTGGTTTTACTGTACTGCCTGCCTTTAGACAAAAAACCTGCCATTTGTCATTGACATCTAATAACTGAGGGGATCTGTAACTTCTTGGAGTGTCTAAGTCATAGGAAGAGTCATCTCTCACTCAACAGGAGTCTAAACATGTGGTTTTAATTACATAGTGTGTATGGGTTTTATTGTATGAAATATTTGAGAGCAAATAATACTGAATTTGAATAACCATAGCTGAGTGCAGACTCTGCCAAGGCTCATTAGGGAGAATTGTGGTAATTTCCTGCACACCACTGAAATAGATGGGGATGTGGGCAGCACTCATTTTGGCCTAGTTTGCATTTGTTTCAGCTCTGCTGTCCTGTGTGTGAAACAAACACAATGAAAAAATTATAAATGGCTTATGTTAAAATAAGAGAAAAATCAGAATTTAACAGCACTCACTTGAATGCATTTTTAAATTATTTTTCGGGGAAGCATATTGCAAATGTTTGGGGCTTTATGTGGACTTTTATAGTGGCAGCATGTATTCTGGTAATGGTTATACAAGGGTGTGCTGTGGTTTGTTGAATTTTCTTTCTGTTTTGCAGATCGGGACGAAGAGGAAATGAACAAACGGGAGGACAGAAAAGAGGGAAATAAACATTGCAAAGAGAGGGCATCCAAAGATAAAGTAATTAACACCTTTCTTAATGACTGCACACACCTTGTTAGAGGTGTCCTAATTCCAGCTTAGCTCTATTTTTATTATAAGACCTGTTTTCCCTTTGAAAGCAGCTGTTAAGTAAATGATTGAGGGCAGAGGTGATGTTTCCTATTTTATAATTAAATTAATTCTATGACCATTTTTTACATACTAGCATGAACAAAAGGAAATTGTGTCTACCAGCTATCACTATCCATTGTGATGTATTTCTTCTAAATACTGAAAGATTACTTTTCATATATAGCTTAAATTAGTCTTAAATAAGATCTAAGTAGGTAATTGATAGTAATATTAATTACTTGACTTAAAGTAACAATAAAATAAACAGAGAAAAAACTTTTGTTAGGTCAGAAGTTGGTATATTTTTGGAATGATATTTTAACTCCCTAATCATGCCATAATCACTTTTCTCTAGGAGAAAGACAAGACCCAGATGGTGACTGTTAACAGGGATCTGCTGATGGCTTTTGTTTATTTTGATCAAAGTCATTGTGGATACCTGCTGGAGAAGGACATGGAGGAGATCCTGTACACTCTTGGACTTCACCTGTCACGTGCTCAGGTTTTGTTTTCTGCTGAAAAACTTCCCAGATGTTACAGGACTGGTTTAACTGGGATAAATGTAACTTAGCTTCTACAGGCTTTGCTTGCATACCTGATCTCTTATTTACAATGAAATGAGAGTTTAATCTTTTGTAAGTTGACTGGGAGTGAAAAGGTGAAGTTTGCAGTTTATAATATCCCCATACTGTATATGTAGCTTTTGTCTCTAAATTGTATTTATTCTTTTCTTATTTTTATTCTTATTATTTCTTATTTTTGCATTTTAAGCCCCAGTATTAAAATTCAAAAAGCTGTGCAATTTCTTTTAAGTTTTCCAAGCTAAACCATTCTTGTTTAGGTAACAGGATGTCTGAGTATTAAATAATTATTAATTATTTCTTTCCATGTGTTGTAGGTCAAGAAGCTGCTCAATAAAGTAGTGCTTCGAGAATCTTGCTTTTACAGAAGACTAACAGACACTTCTAAAGATGAGGAAAACCAAGAGGAGTCTCAAGAGCTACAGGAAGATATGCTAGGTGGTATTTTCTTTTCCCCACAAACTTCCAGAGAGTTATTTCTTTGTGATAATGAGAGTTCTGAGGTACTTGATTTCTTGTAGAAGCTAATTGAGCCAGTTTGGAAAAGTAAATCTTTGGCAGTTCAAAAGTAACAGGTTTTTTTGTGCTTCCAACATATAATGTTGCAACTCTAGGATAAATTTTAATGTCTTGGAACAGGAAAGAGGACAGAGGCTAATGCTAATATTGATGAACAGCATTCCTTGTTTTGAAGTCAGGAGGCTCAGAGCTGCAGGTAGTAGAGTGGAGCCTGAATTTTGGAGACAATTCTTGCAGGAAAGAGGCACAGAATGATGTCTTGAAAGAGAATGCTGCTTTTTGGCAGGGGGGAGGATTGGGGTCAGGAGAAGGAGAGAGAGAAGTGTGAGGGATAGAGCAGCAACCTTGAGTCTGTATTTGTTCTCCTGAGCAGTGTCTGGGGTTGGTCTCTAGGATGATGCTATGATATTCAGGATAGAGCAGCATTGAGAACTGTCTGAGGTTGGTCTCTGGAATGATCCTGTGGTTATTTAGGACACAGCAGCAGCCTTGGGCCTGTGTTTGTTCTCCTGAGCAGTGTCTGGGGCTGCTCTCTGGACTGACCCTATTGAGGATAGAGCAGCACTGAGAGGTGTCTGAGACAGGTCTCTAGGATGGCATTGTGGTTATTCAGGGTAGAGCAGCACTGAGCAGTGTCTGAGGTTGCTCTCTGGAATTACACTGGTATTGAGGATACAGCAGCAACCTCGAGTCTGTATTTGTTCTCCTGAGCGGTGTCTGGGGTTGGTGTCTAGAGAATGATATTGTGGTTATTGAGGAGAGAGCAGCACTGAGCAGTGTCTGGGGTTGGTGTCTAGAATGATGTGGTTATTCAGGGTAGAGCAGCACTGAGATGTGCCTGAGGTTGGTCTCTAGGATGGCATTGTGGTTATTGAGGGTAGGGCAGCAGTGTCTGAGGTTACTCTCTGGCCTGACCCTGAGGCTATTGAGGATGGACCAGCACTGAGGTGTCTGGGGTTACTCTCTAGAATGANCGTGCAGTTCTCCAAGTTCTCCCTGGACTGGTACGTGTGCCAGTGTGCCATCGTGGTCAGCCCGCCCGTGTGGGAGTGCTGCGTGATGATCCTGACTCTTAACCTTTGTTAAATGAATTTTCCTTACTTTCTCCCATCTTTAAATGTAAAAAACCTATCTAGTCAAGTATATAATGGCTAAGAACCTCATATGGTGAACTTGTTGGATGTGCTGTGTTGCTTTAGAGTGCTATTGCAAAATAGCTTTATTGCATTGTTTAGTGAATATTCCCTAACATGCAGACCCCTGAATGGGAAGTGTTTAATAGTTACATTTTAAACTTCATCCATGACATTCAAACGTAATATTCTTGAGATGTTATATATCCAGCACCAAATATACAGTGGTTGTATTGCCAGTTAATGCACTTCTTGAGTTAATAGTTGATAATTCTGTATCTTTACACCCTGCCTGTGTTCCAGCCGTAGCTGTGATATGATGGAGCTGAGGAGGCGTTACCAGAACCTGTACATCCCCAGCGACTTCTTTGATGCTCAGTTCACGTGGGTGGATGCTTTCCCTATGTCTAGACCCTTTCAGCTGGGAAACTACTGCAATTTCTACGTAATGCATAGAGAAGTAGATCCTATAGATAAGAACGCTGCTGTCCTCGATCCACCTGATGCTGATCATCTCTACAGTGCTAAGGTTTGTGTGCTTTTCCACTGATAGCACTGTTCATTAGAAGTTTTTTTATCAATAGGATGCAAAAGGGGGTGTAACTGAACTGAAGACATTCTGCAGCCATTTAAGCAAAGTACAGCGTTTTAAACTTTTCAGTAAAAAACTAGTATGTAGAGCTTAAAGAATCACAACTGAAATTGAGTTTGTTTTTCTGTTACTAGAGCTGTGCTCAGTCTTGTGCTTACAGAGGGCTCTTCCATTGTCTGCACCCAGTTGCAGTGATGTGATTATAGGAAAGAAAGCCAGCTCCTGCAAGGTCTCTGAATTATTTCTTAGGCAATTCGTTTTGAGTAGTTAATGGAGTCCTTTTTATTCCTTCAATACGAACTTGATGGAAAATCTTGAAAGCAAGAAGGAGTGATGATGTTTTAAACCTATTCCATTGCTGAAATAATCTGTGGAAAAAAATAACTGAACTCTTTCTGTGCAGTTTGTGTTATTATGTTTAGTGGTATTTTTTTTCCTCATTTCCTGTTCATCTCAATATTTATTTTTTTGTTTGAAGTAGGTTGAGATCTGTCTTTAACATGTAATACTTCTAACACAGATTGGCAAAATCTCAGACCTATTTTAATGACAGACTTCAAATGGAACAGGTTTTAGGAAAATGTTTTGATAAAGGGGTCTTTTATGCATGATTACAGCCCTTGATGCAGCATATTTTGACATTCACATAGAGAGAGACTTAACTAAGTTGCCTTCTGTGTGCAAAACCAGTAAAGCTCAAGTATCAGACATGCTGGTTTTTCAGTCTGTTTGTGCAGAGCAAGAGCTGCCTTTCAGAAGGCTGAGCTTTAGAACACAGTCAGTAACTAAGGAGGAGCATCCTGTTTTATCACACACCTGTTTGGGGTGTGGAGCAGCCTTGTTCAGGGTTGGTATGGGTGTTGGTGCTCGTTGTTGATCAGCTGTAGTGAGACCTCCACCAGACTGCTCTGACCTGCCCCACAGGTGATGCTGATGGCCAGTCCCAGCATGGAGGATCTCTACCACAAGTCCTGTGCTCTGGCTGAGGATCCCCAGGAGCTTCGGGATGGATTTCAGCATCCTGCTAGACTTGTAAAGGTAAATATGCTTCCATGCCAGACACTTTTGGCAAGAAAGGTTGGTTATAGAGCTTTGCTGGTTTTGACAGTAGGAGAGGAGCTGGTAGACAGCTGAATGATGATTTCATTTTTCCTCTGAAGAGACCTAGTTTATATGTCAATTCTTTTTCCTCTTAATAGGAGCTTCACATTTACTGCTTTGTTCTGCTTAGTCAAACTAAACCAATTAACTTTGTTAGCTGCTTTTTACAAGCACTTACTGATTTTGTAAGGGCTCAGCTGTGAAGAGAATGCACGTGAAACAGCAGTTAAGCAGTTGTTGTGTTAAGTGAAACTTAACCATTAAACTGAAGAAGTTGTAAGTGCTGTGGTGTTTCAGGACAACAGACTTGTTTTGCAGTTAAATTCTAACTTACAGCACACAGGAATACTTTCATTTATAGGTATGATGCTCTTGTGGTCTCACCTGTAGCTTTTCTTCTTCACTTTTAAGCAGGCTCATCTCTAAATGTGTATCAGAGTTAAGGCACCATTTAAGTTACTGTCTGTCTTTTGGGTTAGAAAGCTTTGAATTGCAAAGGGACAAGCCTGTACCAGTAAACAACCTTGATGGAAAATCTTGAAAGCAAGAATGAGTGATGATGTTTTAAACCTATTCCATTGCTGAAATAATCTGTGGAAAAAAATAACTGAACTCTTTCTTGACTGATTTTCATTTTCAGATTTCAAAGTAATTTCACGATTTACTCACGGATTTCAGTGTGTGTGCTATGAAATATTCTTTGCACTTTGGGAAAATGACCTTCTAACCCCTAGCAGGGGAACATTCAGAAGCCTCTTTTTGTCTAGTTTTTAGTGGGTATGAAAGGCAAAGATGAAGCTATGGCTATTGGAGGCCACTGGTCCCCCTCACTGGACGGGCCTGACCCAGAAAAGGACCCCTCGGTGCTGATAAAGACGGCAATTCGCTGTTGCAAGGCTCTTACAGGGATTGACTTAAGTGTGTGCACGCAATGGTAAGTACTGCATACTGCTCTGCACTGCCAAGTTCAATGTAGAAATAAATACTTGTCTGTTACCAGGACTTAAAAAAACAAAACAAAACAAAAAAGGCTGGAAAAACCCTTTTTTCTTTGTCAACTGCTCTTGGTAGTTCAGGTGAACTACTCAAAGGATGTTCTGTTTGGTAATCAGCTTGATTGGTGCCAACTGTGCTGAATACTGCATTAAGAACTAATTAAAAATTCTGGGTTTATTTTGACATGTTATACTGTAATTTTTTTAATGAATGTGCGTTGAAAATATTTTTCATTTTGTGCATAGCTGGAGAGGATCGTCAAGAGAACTTCATTTCATTATTCTTTTGTTATAAATAAATAGCCGTTTGTTATACAGCCATATTTTCTCTTGATGAGTTTCTGTCCTGCATTAACACTCACTGTGGTTGTACCAATACCAGGAAAGCCTATTGTATGCTAAATTTGAAGTTCTTCCACAACTTCTGTTTGCACATAAAACCTGCTTGGGCTAAACAACGAGTTTTATGAAAAGCATTTTGTCGATTTTCCTCCTTTTCAGTCGCGATACCTCTTTACAAGTGTGCCAGAAGAGAAAATATGGCTCCCATAATTTTTTTCTTTAGATAAACCTCAAGGTCTTGCAGCAAAATTTCTTTACTTGATGTGCTACAAGTGATCTAGGCTCTTGAAAAATGTATTGTAGAATTTTTTTTCCAACATGCTTCTTCCCTTGCAACAGGTACCGTTTTGCAGAGATTCGCTACCATCGCCCTGAGGAGACCCACAAGGGGCGTACGGTTCCAGCTCATGTGGAGACAGTGGTTTTATTTTTCCCGGATGTTTGGCATTGCCTTCCCACCCGCTCAGAGTGGGAAACCCTCTCCCGAGGATACAAGCAGCAGCTGGTCGAGAAGCTTCAGGGTGAACGCAAGGAGGCTGATGGAGAACAGGCACTGAACGCTAATCCCTTTTTCTATTTCTGCTTCTCACAGGCACAGGAACACAGGCACAAAATGCACACCACACACTACACAACATACATACACAGGAGGAACATAACTGGTAACAATGACTGGTAAACCAGCTTTCAGCAGTGTAGTGGATGTTGCTTTTGGTTTTTATTTCAGCTAGTTCACTAACTGTAAATGTGTATGCTGATGTCACAAACGGGATTAAATTGTGCTTACGATGCGCAGACATCTTTATCGTAGACGTAGTTGCTGGAATCTGGGACCAGTTGTTGAGTGAGATTCAGTTTATGAATAGCTGTCTTCAAACATTTTGCCATTTTCTGAAATTTCTAAATTCTCTCTCGTGGCCAGTTCTAATTGTGATATTTGAAATTGAACAAACATTAGTCCGAAACATCTGAATTTCAGGCCATGTGGCTGATCAGCATCTTGGAATAAGGGAAGGTCTGACTGAACAAAGAGTAATTTGGGGCATTTAAAATGTGGGGGAAGATCACCCGCTGTGTGGTTACTGGAGACCAGCAGTGTCTGTGTAACCCCAATATCCTTTGTGGTGTTGCTTATCACCCTTTTGTGTTCCACAGATCTGGCTTGTATTGGCTGAGTGGCACTGTGATCATTTATAAAGTGGTAGAATGTGTGTGTGAACTTGTCTAAATAATAACTTTAGGAGAAGACTATCTGAAACAGTTGTGACCTTGCACAGATCAGCAACAGAATTTTAAAAAATAACTGAAACGCTTTCAAGCTTTCTGAAGGATAATTTTGAAATTTTGTTTGTCAGGATGAAGAGGAAAAGGATGATGGGGAAGCTAAAGAGATCTCTACGCCTACACACTGGTCTAAACTGGATCCAAAAACAATGAAGGTAGCAAACACTTCTGAAAATTTGTGCTTTTTCACTTTTAAGACATGACCTGAAATGCAGCAGTGTGTTCCCTTAAGTGAGCAGGAAAATTCAGTAGTGTTCTGCTGAATTTATAGGTACCAGATGTGGTATCACGGTGTGCAGGGATGACTCCTGGTTGTACAAAGTGAAAGCAGCTAACTAAATCTGTTCTGAACTTTGTGCAATTAAAGGATATCACCTATGGTACCTGAACTGGAAAACAAGAGTTCTGCCTGTAATCTGCAAGAAATGTGGGGTCTAAAATAGTTTAAAAATTGTACATTTTTGTACAATTACTGCCTTTTTAACCTCTGTCAGGAGACATAATAAAAACTTTCCTCGAAAGCAGTAGTAATAATAAACTATTTTACTTTAACAGAATCCTTTCCCTGCCTCTGTGAAAAGTTCCTCAGAAGGAAGTGTTTTGCAGAAAACATCAATTTAAATGCAATTTGCTTTCTTTTGGATCAGTAACTATTAGTGTTTTTCAGCACACGTTTAAAAAGTTCAGTTGACTTTTCAGAGCTGTTGATTTTTACCTCACTTTCTGTGCTAATCCAGTGTTCTGTGGTGTCTCTGCCTGCTGCCACTGACAGAATTTTCCTTTGCCAGGTGAATGACCTTCGCAAAGAGTTAGAGAGTCGAACCCTCAGCTCCAAGGGCCTGAAATCCCAGCTGATAGCTCGGCTGACAAAGCAGCTCAAAGTAGAGGAGCAAAAAGAAGAGCAAAAGGAGCTAGAGAAGTCTGAGAAAGAAGAGGAAGAGGAGGAGGATAGGAAATCTGAAGATGATAAAGAGGTTAGGATTTGGACATACTTGGTTTAAGTCTTAAGTACATATGAAATACATTAAATATTTGTATAAATATGCATAAGCACAAAAAGTAGAGGCATGTTCCTACTTCTGCTGGGATTTTTTGTTCTCAAGATACTGTACTGGGAACTCTTGCTTGAATTGGGAAGAGCTCTTGGCCAGTTTCAATTATTTTGTGTCAACCAAATCAGCTCAAATATGCCACTGCACTAAGGGTGTCTGAATTAACATTTGACCTTAAATCTACGGAAAAATAAATCCAAGCCTCCTGAGAAAAGCCATGCTCAAGATGAGTGAACACACTTAACACTACCTTAACTCCTTAAACCTGCATGAAAAGCAGTTTTAGTTCTTTTTGCCTCTGTGTCTCACAGTCCAGCTTCTTCATGTGGCAGATGGTTTGCTTGGGTTTGTTTTCCCTTATTACGAAGCTTTAATGTTTGCTTTTGGGTACTTGCTGTGTACTGGAGTTTCTCAGTTTTGTGGTCTGTAGTTGCAGTGCCTGTCTGGTTTGCTTCTTCACAAAAATTGACAAAATCTGTGCAATGAGGCCAAAGCTCAACCATAGAAAAGGGGGCAGAAATGTCTGGAAAATAGCTTGTGCTTTTGTTGCTTTTAAACCTGCTTTTTTGTATGTTACCTGCTAACCTGTATGGGGTGATTGGAAGTTTGATGTTTTTATACATCTCTGTAAACCTTGTTGAGGGAGGAAAGGCCAGTTCTGCTTGCTGATTCTGTCAGCTGCTGCTGCCTTTTCCCACAGCTTGGATGGGGTTCAGCTAGCTTGGGTTTCTTGCCACAGCTTCCTTTAGGATTGAAGGGGAGCTGTGGTTGTGCTGGCTTTTTATGAAGCACAAGCTCTGCCTTGACTTTCTTTGTAGTCAGGAGACTTCAGTATTTGTCTCTTGGCAATCAGTAAGGTGGTGGCATTTTACATTTTGTAACCCTTTGTTTCATTTGCATCAGATATATCTATAGAGATTGCATTTCCCATAATCAAGAGTTAGATAAGTTGTCATCTGCAGCTGTTAGAGCTGTGTTGGGTGTCTTTGGAGAGGTGAGGTATGAACTTTCTCTTCCTTTGTAAGGAATAAACACCTCTCTGTGCTGTACAGCTGTGTGTTCCTTCCAGCAGCTTAGGCTTTCCTTTGCTCAGGAAAGCAGAGAATCCCAAAAACTCATGTAGAGGCTGAAACTTCAGCTTTGGAGTGTGGTGTTGGTTTCCAGGACGAGGTGAGAGATGAGGAATCTGACTCTGTGTTCTCAGAAGGCTGAGTTATTATTAATTTATGATATTATATTGGGTTATGTAATGTATATTATGTTATGTTATATTATATTTATTGTATATGGTATGTTCTATTTATTATATATGTTATACTATACTGTATTATACTATATAGTGTAATATAGTATAGTATTATACTATATTATTATACTTATTTACTATACTATATAGGTATATATTCTATTCTATTAATATAATATAATATAATATATAATTATATATCTATTTTATTATATAAAATATATAAATATAAAATAATATAATATATTTGTATTTTATATATAAATATATATTTTATAATATATATAAAATATAAAATGATATAATATATTATTTATTATAATATATAATAATATATTATATTATATATTATACTATGCTATACTATATTATACATTATATTATACTATACTATATATTATACATTATATTATACTATACTATACTATATTATACTATACTATATTATATTATCCTATCCTATCCTATCCTATCCTATCCTATCCTGCACTATACCTAGTGTAGTAAATCTAGTGTAGTTTATCTACTCTATTTTATATTATAGAATGCCATACTAAAACTATACTGAAGAAAAAGAAATATACAGACAGAAGGTTTAACAAGAATGATAATGAAAAACTTGTGAGTGACTCCTCAGAGTCCAACACAGCTGATGGTGATTGGTCATTAAGTAAAAACAATTCCCATGGCACCAATCAAAGATGCTCCTGGTGGATAAACGATCTCCAGCCACATTCCCAAGCAGCCAAGCACAGGAGCAGCAATCAGATCATTATTATTTCCATTTTTCTCTGAGGCCTCTGAGCTTGGCAGG